TTTGCTAGGGCGGAAGGAAGAATCATAACATAAAGATTCACTTCAAAAATGGAAAAAATCGGGGGCCTGGGGTTCAATCCCAGGGCCTGCCATCCCAGCCCCGCCCCTGGGATGCTCTGAGGCAGCAACTGAGACTGGGTGTGGTGGCGCGCGCCCGTAATCTCAGCACTTGGGAGGCTGTAACAGGAGAATCACTATGATTCGATCTAGTAGTGAGACCTTGAACCCCCTGTAGGCCCTTCCATAAAATACAGGAAAAAAAAATGGAAGAAAAATGAAGGTTCATAAAGCATTCACACAGGGTCAAGCACAAATACTTTACAGGTGTTCTTCCTCTCCAACTATCTCTATCATCACTTTTTCCAATCAAGCGTTTGTTCTCAAAAAGTTTGAAATGGCTGTAATATTGAATGTATTATAGTCTAAAATATTCAAATGACTATGGAAAGCCACCTGAATATTCTTCTTCTGAGACATTTGGTCGATATCCAATTTGCATTCTGTTCAAACTCTGATGAATGGTTCCTCCTGTTGATCAATCCACCTGTGACTTTCTTTACTTGGTCTTGGGGACATGTCACTCTCCCGCTCGTTTGTATGTTACTGGCCACACATTGTTTCTTTATTTCTTAACTAACCCTCCTTCTTTTGATCATGTAAAAGCCTTACCCATTCTCTGACTTGAGCCCAAAACATTTCACTTTATAATCATCACCCCTCACCAAGTACACCACAGCTACATCTTCCTTGTATTCTACTACATGTTTATGTCCCCCAAGACTTCTACCTTGAGTTATGCAATGTCTAAGAAGTATCTGAAATGTAACATTCCCAAAATACTTTTGGAGTTTTCCCTCACCCACCCATTGAATGTTATCCCCATCCTTTCTGTTTTTAGTTCATAAAATTAAGACTCCTCCGATTTTATACTCAACTTCACATTGCCATTTACAGTCAGGCTAGCAGTCAACTCAGTCAGTTTTCCTTAAAAGTTTATCTCAAAACTTTCCTTAAAAGTTTAAAGGAAAGTTTAAAATTTCCTCAAGAGTTTATTTCCTTATCCAGTTTATCATTGGATTGTGATCTTCCTATCTAAATAATTACTGTCTTTCCCCTACATTGCTATAGTAAGTTCCCAGTGAGTCTTATTGCTTTCCCTTTACTCTTTTTACACTAAATATGTGATTTCCTGGAAACTAATTCTGACCATGTGACTGCTCCTGCTTAGATAAGACCTACACTACTTAATTCAAAATGGCCCTTGCCTTCATGGTTCCATGTGACTTGGTTTCTGCATTGTCTGGTCTCACCTCACTCTTTTGCCACCACTCCTGTCTCTTGGTTCCTGCTGTGCTGTCCACAGGTCAGCACCTCTCCCCTTGGTGCAGCCCTTGTTCCCCTTCTGGACTTTCATGGCTTCCTCCCTTTACACCCTTCCTTCTGGTACATCTAGCACCATGCCTTCTCTGTCCTCCTCAGGTCCTCACCATATGACTTACTATCCTCTCTAACACCACCCTTGAAAGAAGAGAACATTTATCATGGGTTCTGTACTCCTCGTAAATGTAGGCTTTGTAAGTGCAAGACGTTGGATATTCTTATTTAAAAGTAAGTAATCAGTATCTAGAAAAGAGTCTAGCACTTAAGCATGTAATAAATGGTCATTGGATACACTATGAAAGGGCAAATTGTACATCCGTGTTTACCTTGTGTTTAAAAAATAGCTATTTCTCAGTAGCATCATTTCTATGCCTCAGTATTTTCCTAAATAAATCATAATAGTAAAATTTTCTTCCAGTCATTTTCAGTGTTTAACCAGAAAAGAAAATAAGTATAAGAGCTCCCAGACACGCACTATCACGTGATGTTTACGATCTTCCCCTCCCCTTCTATGACTTAACCTGACATATGTGCCCTATTTTTAAGAGATACGTATAGGATGCCTTCTCCCTTCCCGTCTCTTACACAACAGCATATATGGAAAGAAGAGAACAAGTTTTAGAATCAAATAGGCTGGGTTCCAATCTGAAGTCAGCCTTTGTTTCTAGACCATGGAGATTGTGCCAGCTGTAAGCAACAGTGTTTCTCTCCCTCCTGGAGTTGATGTCAATATTAAATTACACAATGCTTCGTAGGAGTTTATTTTAAAGCTAATAATTGCTATTTATTACATAACTTAGTAACTCTTTCCTGGGTGAGTAGATGGCTGCACCAATGAACCAAAGAATAAGAGCTGAGATCTATCCTCTCTCTCTCTCTCTCTCTCTCTCTCTCTCTCTCTCTCTCTCTCTCTCTCTGTCTATCTATCTATCTATCTATCTATCTATCTATCTATCTATCTAATATACTTCTTCATCAATTTCCTCCCACTCCAAAAAAAGAAAATAGACAGGTGTTGCCATGGAGACAAACCAAGGAAAAGTTATTTTTCTGAATTTGGAAAGAACTTGAAAAAAACAGAACCAGAGAAAGGTGATGGGGATATGCAGCTAATTAAAAAGGTTTTGCCTAAGGGGTGTAGGTGCAGACTCCGGGGCTCTTCAAGAGAGACCTCCCACCGGCACAAGTGCTTCTGCCTGAGGCCAGGCATTGTTAGAACTATTAGTGGCTGCAAGGGATTAGTGGAACCCCAGTTTCTGAGGCAGGACAGCCTGGGGGGTTATGTGACTGAAAATTTTAAGAAATATAATGTATATCAAGGTCATATTTGGAAGATAAAAGCTGTCTTTAGCATGGGTTTTATTTTTCCCCTCTACATTTGATCCACATTCAATTTTCCTATCAAAATATTATATTTTTTCAGAAACTTGCCTAACAGCATGCTGTTAAGATTTTAGGAGTCTTAACGATTTCTGGCCATTTCAGTCATCACTACAAAGGTCTCAGAAGAGGTCGCTGTCCTGTCAGAAGCTCACATGTACTGGATCGCTGTGTGCAGAGCTGCTGGACATTCTACCGCACTTCGCTTGCAGGAAGAAAGTGTTGATAGTAGTAGTAAGAACTGTGAATCTGAAACAACTCAACTGAGATGGTGCTCTTTGGGAGCAGAAAGCTGTATTTTTTAGTTCCAATTAGATGCTCACTTTGCGTAAGCTGTTAACTGGGCATTCACTAAACTGTGAAGGCAACAAGAACAATCATCACATAGAAATCCTGGAAATAAATTATCAAGGACTTTACCGAAGTGGTTAAGTGTAAATAGAAAGTGTGTTCCTCTCAGGTTAAAATCACATAAATAAATGGCTCGTGTTTGTCCTACATAACATCCTTATCTCAGGAGAAACTGAATCTTTGATTTTGTAAGTCTAAGACGGCAAAGTGAACACAAACTAAAACTAAAGAACTCTGACTCTGAAAGTTGGCTGCAGTTGTTTGGATATCCAACTTATATTGTATAAGTTCTGAATACTGTAGAAGTATTCAAGAATTATTGCAGTTATCTGCTAAAATATGTTCACTCAGGGAACACCT